ACTGCACTGCATTATATAACTTCGTGTATAATATTCTAAAATTCACAATTTCTACTTATTTCCATTATCTGTACTGCAAAAAAGTCTGAAAACTGAAATATTCAAAAGGATTTAGACCATTATGTTTTCTAATTATCTGATTGAGAAATACATGAAGTTTCTCTTAAATATGGTCCATACTGTGCGCTTGAGTGAAACAAAACTGCTTTTGTCTAACAAAAGTTAATTTGAATAAATTCACCAAAAGGGCCTGAATGAACCTGGTCCTGTGCTTTGCTTGGGGGGTTATATTAGTGATGGAAAGAGAAATATGGTAACTCCTCCTCCTTATTTAACTGGTGCTTCTTCAGTACTCTGTAGTTTCTTACATTCAGTTCTAAAGGCATGAGACAGACAAGCTTTCTCCTAACTAAACTATGGGAAGAAAATCAATGTCTGCAGGAGGGTCATAAATCAAGGGTTGTTATCTTTTTTCTCTTTTTTTCAAATGAAGGGACCTCCCCCTAATTGGTAGAGCCAGCTGACCTTCTTATAAATCCTCCAAGTAACAGGTGCCAACAGCCAGATCCAGTCTAACTATCCTCAAAGTTTCAGCTTCTCTTCTCCCAAATCACCTTCCCTTTCCCTTCCTACATTTGTCCTATATGTAGATTATTCTTCTATCTTGCACCTTTCCCCCTCCTCTCCTCTACCTGTTAAACCATCAAGACCCTGCCCCTTTAACTGTTGTGATATTTTCCCTTGTGACACATCACAGGTTACTCCAGTGCAAAGTCTGAGTGCTCATGTAATTCATACTAGAAAGTGAGTGTATATAATCCCTCTCCAGTGTAGTGAGATTATCAAAGAGGAATTATTCAGAGAAAAAGTGTTTCTTTATTATTTTTCTTCCCAAAAACATTTGGAGAGAATAAAGATAATATTTCCCTGGTCACTAAACATCATTAGAAAAGCAACAACACAGCCTATGCATGAACAAATATGGCTGCTTTAATGAACAGCGAGAGATGCTGTTCTGAAGCACTTTTTCCAAATCATTGTCAAAGCAAGCACAGCACTATTACATCTATAGTTAATTTTAGTTAAATTACATTTATATGTAAATAAAGTAATCCTTTGTTTTTGTTATGCCATTACTTTGTACAATATACCCCCAATATACTGCTCAAAATTCAAGAAAAAAAATGCTGTTTTAATGTGCTACATTGTTTACAGATCTAGGTTAAGAGGTGAGGTTATATTCTTCCTGTGCCACAAAGGTTTCTGAGTGACTCAGAATCACTTACTATCTCTCAGCCTAAACTCTCTTACAAGTTTGCTATGAAGAAAACAGCGAGAGAAATCAAGGAAACTACCCTGAATTCCATGAAGACAGAGGAAATAAATATGACATAGATAGATGAATTGGCCTTGTTTATATTTCCCCTAATATAACTACAGTAACAAATGACTACAGATTTAGTACATTTTTCAAAATACATTTGTGTACATGTCATTTTTAAATTTGTAGTACCGCAACCTCCTAGTGATAAATGAATTTATATGAACCCATCTTCCAAATATTTATATGGGCAAGAAATAATTAAAATTTAATCTATACATCACAGAGATTCTCAAACTTTTCCACAGTGCGACTGCTTGCACAAGCAAAATAAGGAACAATATACCCTGAGTGATTTTTGACAGTGCTGCCAGTTTGCCTATGCAAGCTTGATCAGGTTTTTAAAAATGTTGAATCCCTCTCTAAGTTGCTAATGACCCTGGGAGATCTCAACTCAATATGAGAACTATCATAGTATAATGGAAATGTCCTATACAACTTGACCTTAAAAACTTTAAGAAAGATAAATTACTTTAATTGCTCTGTGCTTTAGAGTTCATAAAATTATTATAAAGTAATTATGTTCATAAAGATAACCTGTGAATGTATATACTTGGAATTTATATTAATTTTAAACTAACCTCAATAAGATGCCAAATTCTACTTTTTTTTTTTTTTTTAATCTAGTTTCATACTGAAAAGAAGACAAAGGGAATGTACTTATGGGGGAAACAAATGATAAGGAACTGAAAAAAAAAATCTTTGGAACATGTCACTCAGTGCAGCAATGTTGATGCAACAGTTATTACATAAAAGGAGTTCACTATCACAGACCAGACCTAGAAGAGTAAGGAGCAAAAATAGCAAAGAATAACATGCAACAAATAGAATGTTATTATAATTTACTGGACTAAGAACAGTGGCTTGAATGTTTGTACAGTTTCATGGAATAAAATTCTGTCACAGAATTCTGTCAACAATCTGTATATATTTGTATACTAAGTCAAAGTGCCAGATAAGTAATAATTATATTATTCTAATGAAATAATAATTTTTGTTTAAAATAGTCCCCATGTAAGAATTGCTTCTCAGACTGATGAAAATTCAGTTGACCATTATGTAACCTGCTGCAGTTCCCCTAAAATCAGTGAAAAGAGCTGCCTCCCCTTCCAATATACCATACGACAGGGAGAAAAATACTCAGAAAGTCTCTACCCAATGTACACTGAGCTATACTGGTTCTAAATTGAAACTTAGTTCACTTGCTGGAATTCTCATACTACTGCTTTTTCATCTTACTAAATCCTGCTAAAGAGAGTTGCGAATTCATGCCTGGGGAAAACCTGCTTTTCAGGCAGAAAAAGGCCCAATGGCCATTTTCTAGAGAGAATGAATCTGGTGTCACAGATTAATAATACTCAGTTAAAGAACAGAAAACTAAGAGAAGGAATAAATGACAATTTTCATATTGGAATGATGTGCAAAGCATAGTTCCTCGGGACTGATGTCGGAATTTGTGCTTTCTAATTTGTTAAATAATAATCTGTAATTAGGGATAAGCAATGAAGTGCCCATGATTGCTAATGACAATTAGCAATTGTTCAGGAAAGTAAAATAAAAACAATAACTCCAAAGTGGGCTCAAAATCACAAATGTAGTTCAGTGTAATAAAGTACAAAATGATGCACATTGGGACAAACAAATCTGAGCTGGCAATGGTTGATTAGAAAAGGGACCTTGGAGTCACTGTGATAGTTCAATGAAAATGTTAAACAATGTGTGACTGCTATAAAAAGATGAAATTAATTTTTAGAAATGAATTATTAGGATGATTCATTTGGTTGACTTATTAGGAATGGAACTGAAAATCAAACTGCCAATACAGTAATGTCATTATATGAATCTACTGGACTTGAAAAATAGTACCACATCTGAAAAACAATATTGTGAAGCTGGAGATTAAAAAAAAAGCAACCAAAGTGATTTGATGGGCTAAAGTAGTTTATCTATAAGGAAAATCAGTGGCAACTGGGGCTTATTAGCCTAGAAAGAAGGCTGGTAAGGAGAGGCATGAAAACAGAGGTATGAAAACAGAGGTGTATAAAATAATGCACAGTGTGTAAAACATGGATAGAGTGCCTTCATCTCTCACGCTGTTAGAACTCACACATAGAAACTAATCCAGAGACCATTCAGGACTGACAAAAGGAAGACGTACTTTATACAACACTTGTAAACCTGGGGATTCATTGCCTTCAGATGTGTTGAGCCATCTTTTTTAGGTTTTAAAAGGAAAGCAGACAAATTCACAAAAGCCTCGGCTATCTATAGCTACTAGTTTGCCCATTTACTATCTTCACAATCCAGACAGCATACTTTAAATACTAGATGCTAGTATTTAAATACTAGATGATAGTGACTAGTAGTAGAATAGAGCCATTGCTTTTCTGTCCATGGTTATGAATCACTGGTTTGATCCGGCAAGGTTCTTCTTTTGTTTTTATCCACAACATAAACCCACTCTTGATTACCAACACGGAAACAAAAGCAGAAAACTATTAGCATCTCTGGTCCTAAAAAGCTGCGCTACTGGAGTTTTCACACCTTACTAAAATGTCAGTATCTGCTGGCACCTTAACATGTTAATTGGAAGGTCTGATTCAACTCATCCAATGAGTGTGTGCAAAGCATGCACAAAGGAAGCAATAAATCTTAAATCAAGGTTCCAGATAATCAACCTGGCTTACTTAGGAACAATACAGGACTTGGCTGAAATACTGGTAGAGTATTGATATATCAAGGGACCTGGACCACTGAGGGTGAATATATGTATGAAAACACACAAACAGGAAACCCACCTGATTCTGATTAGGGTGGTCTGATCCCCCCATCCAAACCACAGAAGCAACACCTTCTCAGCCATAAGGAGTGCATGTTTTGCCATAGTCATGGGAAAGAGAATTACCAAGATTGATTCTATTCCCATCCCTAACTCAAATATACAGATCAAACCGTGGAAAAAATTAATTAAAGTAAATATGTTTATAAGTATTCATAAGAGAAGCAAATGTTATATTTAACAGAGATCTGTAAAGATCCTCTTGCACAAACACAAAGTCCAGTCAATGAGATGAAGTAAGTCCTACACTTTGGAGATGAACAGCTGCACTATATGTGTTTTCTGTCCAGAGAGCAATGCTCCCTAGGTGATACAGGGTAAATATATATTTTTAAATCTTCTATTTATGCATAGGCAATTGATGCTAAAACCAAGTATACCAGGAAGCTTTCCAATTATTTGATATAGAAATATCAAATTATTCTATTGGTAAATTATTAAATATTCCTACCTTTTAAAGACCTTAACATTATTATTTACCTAAAATGAATTATTATTCAAAATCAAATTAATAGTCAAAATGAAATAAAAGCCTCATAGAAAAAAAACCCCTACTTCAAGTTAAAAGGTACTTACTGCCTTCTAGTTTTTCTGACAGAAAAAATGCACAGTATGAATACATAATATACAACACACAATGTCAGTAACAAAATAATAATTTAAAAACAGGAGCAGTTCCATTTTTTCTACCCTAATTTTGTAATCTAGAGAGCTGAAATGATTCTGGTTTGTCTGCAGGCTCTCTTTCCATTGTTTACTCTGTAACTTCAGAATATCTACCTCTCTCTGTCTGGACAGTTGTGGTCATCCATTATTCGATGTCTATCCATTCGATTCATGGTATTGTAATGTGCAGGAGTAGATCGGGTCCCTCGAGACCCATGTTCCACATTCCTTGAAGAAACAAAACCATCAATGTTATAGAGGGGGAAATGAGCAATTCCCTGGTGCTAATCTCTAAAATGATCTTTATTAATGAAAATGTTATCTGTAGGCTGTCACATTCTTGACCCTAACATAGTAATTTTTTCTGGTCATGAATACATGCTGGTTATTTAAATCCTGGTATCTGCTGCAGCATCTTGGAAAACGTTTTAACATCCTATAAATCTTTGCAGTTATATAAATGTAAAGCAGAAACTCCATAGCCTCTTGGTAAATGAGAGAAATTTGATTACATCAGACTCTAATGTCTCAAAAAAGAAAAAAAGTGGGGAAGTTCTTCCCTGAATACTTAGATTTGCTTTTGCCATGGCCTGCAACTGCTGTGCTGTAATATACAACTCTACTGACCAATAACTAACCAATCTTAGTTGGAAATAAAATGAAAATTCTAAACAAACTACCCACTATAGTTAAGGCAAGAAGAAGTATAAAACGGAATGTGCATTAATTCTCTTACTAATTAATAAGAGTACCAGAGATACAAATGCACTAATCTTTAGTACACTATCATAATTGAATATAAAATATCAGTTGTTTTCCTTCATGGCTTTTTAAAAAGCAGTATTTAACTCTTTGTACGATGACCCCTTCTTTAGAAAAATTGGTGATTGATATTTAGAAGGAACTTTTAGAAGATAGTGATTTCTACATATGCAAGTATATAGAAGTATGTAATTTTCATTAAAAAATTGAAACTTCCACACACTACAGGAAGGGATATTCTTTCAGGGATGTTATAGGACAACTGTGTTACTCTATGGTAGCAAAAAATCAGGAGGAGTCTGGTAGACCCTTTCCGGCTAACACAATTTATATTTTAATTTCAATTTATTGTCAGTTGAAAAAAACTAAATTTTAATTTTTTGTCATTTGAAAAAAATGCTACTGAACTCCTGATCTTTCAGGGATACTTATCTTCATTACCATATTTCTGGAAGGGCAGCAGGTTCTTGGGGGAGAGAGACCAGCAAAAACACTGTAGATCAGTTACAACATGCACAAATCTTGGATTTCTCCACTGCTTTTTGTCAAAGGCTTTTCTTACTGTTACCACAGGGATAGGGAAGAAGTCTAAATAAAATAATTGTAATTTATGACTACGGTAATGGAGACTTAAAATATGCGTTTTAAAGGGGCTAATGGAGGAAAGACAATACTATGGAGCTAAACATTAGGGCAGAGGATTAAATGCTGTAGGACTCGAAATATCTCTCTCTTCCCTGTGCTTTACTTCTCCCATCTTTAATAAAATGGTTCAAGTTCAGGGATGTCAAACAGCCTTGGCCAGATGTTTCTGAGCAGAGCAGTGTCTTTGACAAGTAAAAAACAAAAATCCTATTTCCTTTATATGTCTGTGTGTGTGTGTGTGTGTGTGTGTGTGTGTATTTAAACATATTGCCTGACTTTCATTATAAAAATCCAACCAACTTCTAACCAGTCTTAAACCAACTTAACCGCAGCAAAATGGCTGTATCATCATGTCTTCTCAGGCGATTCCTAATGTGTAAGACTGACTAATGTTTGCTATTATTATTCCCGGAGGCTAGAGAGGCCTATAATTCTGATCTTCTCTGCCCATTCTTCCTACCCCGATGCATTTGTTTTAGTAGTTTGATATTTCTTGCTTCTATTCCATATAGTATCCAGGGCACAACTATATTGAAAAAATTTACATGAGGACTGAAAGCTATAATGGCCTCACTGAATATTCTATAAGTTAATTTCAGACACTATTTAGTGTTAGAAGAGCCTGTATATTGTTGCTTGGAAGATACAAATAAAACTGATTTTTAGACTGTGGGGCTTTCATCCACCTGCCAAAAACCAGAAGAGACTGGGCTCCCTCCCTCCTCACACATATTTATACGCACAAAATTCTAATTACATAGCATTTTTGTGTGGATTTTAACTTTAAGCCATTATGGATCAACCTTGGATAAATACTGAGTATAAATAATAATATATAAATAAGAAGTCTAACTATTTTCTTGAGGTGATTAGTATTTTCTGATGTTAACATGGCTTTTGTATGTTATTACTGAGCATTACTTTACACATTTCCAGTTGTGCATATAAAATTACAAGTCTCACTAAAATATTACCACTCCACTGACTAATTATTAATGTGAATCTGACTATTTTGTTACCAAGAGAAAAAGATTATCTTTAATATGTATTTGTATAATACATATAGATCAAAATATGTGAGGCCTTCAATAACGAAATTATTTCCCGGCTTGCAAATGTATTAATTGGAAATCTTTTATTATAACCAATATCTGCAATTTTAAATAGGCACAATAGATGTTGGATAGAACAAGAGTACTATGTAGAGACTGGCACTGGAGCTCACAGATATTCCAACATGAAATTCCCATACTGAAAATAAATGTGTTAAAATCTCCCAAGAAAAAAATGTTAAGAATCTTTTTAGCAGAAAAAAAATGATTATTTAAAATAAAGATAATTAATTTCAATACCACAGCTCTAAAGAGACCATTGTATACTTTGCTCACCTCAGTCTTTCTTGTCTGTGTGCAGACAATTTTCTTGCATACTTACAGCTTTCCATGTTAAGCAGAATTTAAAAAGTAATATATAGTGCTAATATTGCAAAAGTCACACTACACTCAAGAGGGAGATAATAGTTTATCAGCTACAGGAAATGTAATTCTTCTGAATAATGACTGATGATAATAATATAAAAAAATATTTCAGTCATTCACTAATATAACATAATCTTTGCTTATGTAAATATTCATTATCTAATTTGGTAGACACAATTCATCAATGAATAATTAAAAGATACTATATATCATTAAACAGTGACAAATATGAATAAATTAATAAAATAGATCACTATAAACAAAATATTCCTAACAAGCAAACAAGCAGTTTAATATTTTTCGTCTTTCATTTTTTTGACTTTATACAAGTCATGTTTTATCACAGTGTATTTTATATTGAAAAAAAAAAAAATCCAGCCTTCCCCTACATATGAATACTTCAATTTACCTTTGTAAAGGAGGGACACTGGGAGACCATGACCTAGTTCTTCCTATACTGTCACCACGGTGAGGAGAGCCTGATCGAGAGCAATGATTGGATGACATCACTTGTTCTGGCACTGATAATGTTGAACTTTGAAGATCTCTTCCATTATGTCTGTAATCTACCAAAAAAATAGAGAGAGCTGAAAGAAATGCAGAGGTTTACTGACTTATTTTTCCTGTTTCTTAAAGTACTATAGATACTAGAAAAGTGTGTATTTTTTAAATTGCTCACATCAATTCACAGAACTTCATAAGAATAGCCCTGCCAAATCAGGCCAAAGACCTATCTAACAAAGCTATTGATTTCCCACAACAGCCAGCCAATAATCATGGAAAGCCCAAAACTGAGATAGGTTTCCCTTACTGTTTTCTTTCTTTCCCAAACAGGTAAATATAGGGAGCAGAAGCATACACAATATCTAAAGCTTGGTGACATCACAGATGTGATTAAAGGCATGATAATACTTTTTGATCCCAAATACCTGTGTATGCAAAATTAATTTTTCCCTAAAGGTGAATTATGTTATATTTATTTACACTGAATGCCATGTGTTCCTTTATTTCTTATTCATTTTTCTTGGAACAATCTTTTTGAAGCTTTCTGAAATCCATTTTTCTTTTAGCTATCCTTACGTATTTTCAACAAATCTAGCCATCTCTATTTCACCATTTTTTGAACAAATTAAAGAACATAGGCCCAAACATTACTCTTTGGGAAATCTACCTGTACATCTTTCATCTGGCTCTGAGATACTCCATCTCAGAAAGTTGCCTCTTTCTTATTGGCTGTATTTCAATGCCACGTCACAATTTTCCAACATTTTCTAAAGTATTTACTTTTCAGTGCTTATTTTTATTCCATTTCTTTAACCTAATGCGAGCATTTTTTCATCAGCAATTCGTAGTATCACTCAACCATTCCTGGGCAATATAAAACCTATCTTTGTTCACTATATACTGCCCCAGCAACAGCTGGGTGGTACAGTAAGATGCTATTGCAGAAATGCTGTCTTAACCACTGTTTAGCTCTCTTATAATTTTTCATGATGTGTATCCTTTACCTATCTTTTCTTTTGCATATTTTGCCTTGCTTGAGTTAGCACACTGACTCAGACCTACTTACTCTTTAGATATTTTCTTGCTTGGGTCCTTTTCCTACTAAGCTTATCAATCTCAACATTCTTATTCATAGTTCTTACAGTAAGTATTTTTGTGTAGTCTTAGTCCCAAAGAATTTTCATCTCTTTCATAAAAACTGGTTTCATTAGTTCACCAGTTGTAATGTCACAGAATGTTTTATGACATTACAGAATTTCCATTGAAATTTCTAAAGACGATATGGTTTGGTGGGGGAGAAAAGGCTAACTCCTAGCGTAAGCCTTGCTTATGGATGTTCCAAAAAAAGATACTGCCCCACTTATTCTTAATAATACAATTTCTCCATAGGAACACAGCTGTAAACAACAAAATTAAACAAAATTTCTTCAATTACATAAGGGGGAAAATCATTCTTGAACAAGTTAAAAACATTGTAAGGATTAATAAAATGAATGGTATATAAATGGTATCATATTTTAAATAAACTGCCCCTCTTCTGGAAAGTGCTAATTCAGAATAAGCTAATTATATATAAAGTGTTCATTGTGCTTTTTCATTGCATCCCAGGAGAAGTCTTTTAACAGAGCCCACAGCATCTTAATTAAAAACCTGGAAGGTGGAGGAGCTTGTCAACAAGCCTATTTAATCTGCTGATTTTATTACAAGGAAGATTATAGAAACACAAGGGAGGACAGAAAAAATCATGACACAAACTTTAAAAGAAGCTGAAACTGGAAAAATGTAACAATACATCTAAAACATAAGTACCAACAAGATTATTTACAGGGTAGTCACAACATCTACTATATTTAGAAGATGGCCCAGATTCTTGGACCTTGGACTTGTTTGGAGATTCTAGCAGGGGAGCGCAGCTATCATATACCCTGACCTAAGGGGTATATGATAGCTGTGCTCTCCTTCTATTTGGCAAGTTGTCCTCTTCCACCAAACACACAGCTTTGGGAAGGATGCATATGGAGCAGCGAGGGAGGAAGGGGATGCCTGCCTAGCCAGCCAGATCAGCCGAATCAACCCTGGTAATCAATGGGGTGACAGATGTCATAGCTAGATTGGGGGCAACTTCCAATAGAAAAGGAGGGGAGCAACTTGCAACAGAAAAATGGCAAAAGGCATTGTACTCTGGTCCTTGATGCGTCATCTAAGTCTCTTTCCCTGCCATGGGATTCAAACCTGGAAAAGCAGTTTTGAGGGAAATTTTGGAATTTAGCGTTTAGTCTTAAAATGGGGGGGGGGGAAGGGGGAGGAAGGAAGGAACAAAACAGAATGGAGGATTCACATTTAGTATGCAGTCTTATGGCTAAAAGAAGTATAATTTGTACTGCGAAATTCCTGAATGAGAAATAATTGATTACAATCATTTTTTAAAGTGTATGGGTGAAGGAAAAATCATTTGTCATGGCTTGTTATGGTGCAGGTTAATGGCATCTGTTTGAAGCTTCAACTACAAATAAAATATATCAATAACCGTATGCAGATTTTATTATTTTTAAAATTTCTCAATCCAGTAGCACTGCTATTATATTTGATTCCATTTCTTTTTTTCCCAAATTTCAGTCATTCAATTTCAAAATTCAAACTACAGCAAGAGGAAAAAATAATTAACTTATTAACCCCACAGTCCCCACAAAAAACATGCGTTGTCACCATATGGCACTGAGAAAAGGAGAACTGTCTGACCTATGGAATAGGACATAGATTCTAGAGCAGTGTTTCTCAGCCTCAGCAACTTTAAGATGTGTGGACCAACTCCCAGAATTCCACAGGCTGGCTAGGGAATTATGTGTGTTGAAGTCCACACATCTTAAAGTTGCTGAGACTCAGAAACACTGTTCTAGAGCTTAGAGCCAGTACTGCTATGCCACTTGTAACCTGAACAGAAACTGCAAAGATTGAGTTGTGCCTAAATCAGTGTTTCTCAATCTCAGCAACTTGAAGATGTGTAGGCTTCAACTCCCAGAATTCCCCAGCCAGCATGAAGCAGAAGTCCACACATCTTAAAGCTGTTGAAGTTGAGAAACACTGGCCTAAATTACCATGCCTGGAAGTACCCTTCAATACTGGGAATTTTAAAGCAGATCACAGAGCATGCAGTTCATTGTACCATTGTTTTGAATAATTTGCCCATAAGGCCAGAAACCTGTAACTGGAAATTTCATCTCAGCTCTATTTTAGCACAGGAAGATAACTGTTTAGCATAAAAACACTGATCTTTATAATGCTGTCCTGCCCAGGATTTATGGGAGTAAACGTAGTTTGCACCAGCAGATATTTAACATCTGGAATGTATATTTTTCTCACTAAGAAATAATAGTAGCCTGGCAATGTTCTTCAAAACATAATGAGATAGTTTCACATAAAAATAGAACAACAATTAGGTGGTTATTTACAGCAAATAAATTACAAAGTTAATACCTACCAATTAATACTGAGAAAACCTCTTATCCTAAACAATTTTTAAATATTTTCATTAAAGAAAATCTCTAAGTGTATTTCCATCTGACCTCCCATATTTGGAAATAAATGTAACATGTGTTTAAAAGTACATATGCGGTCCCTCCCATTTTCTACTTTTGAAAATGCAAATTAAGATAAGAGAAAAAAAAATAGGACAGCCATTTGTCATTACTATAATGCTACTTATCCAGCAGCTGACTGTACTTACTAGAGTTAGTAAGGTTGGTAGTAAGGAAGTATTAGTAAGAAATAAATTGCCCTTGGAACAGTGAAGTGTTTAAACAGAAGCTGGATGGGTATCTGTCAAAGAGATAGTGAATTCTTGAACTCTCTGACACTTACAAAGCAACTTTGTATTACTGTTATGAATCAGTCAGAATTGTTAAATAAAGATCATGACATTTACTTCTCAGAAATTTTAGTAAGACTATATAACCATGACTGGGCAAATACAAACAATAAAATAGGTATTATCTTCTCCAATCATTTAAGCTATAGATGCCATTAAGGAAAGCAAACTATCAAGTCCTTATCACTGTGTTTCACCTGAAGATGGAATGAAAACTACAAATGTTCATTGCCAGCACTGTCTAATATTAATAGTGAAGTAGTGCTACAACTTTTGCGAAAGCCACCAACTACAGCTTGAGTTCAAGGTTCTTAACCAAAAACATAAATACTAAACGAATGAGAAATAAAAACATTCTACAATGACCGAAAACAAAGAAAATAATCAGCTACCATTTCAACTTCAACTATTTCCCAAATTCCGTGCTATCCCTCTAACTAGGATTATTATGAAACAAAATAATACAAACTCCAGCTCAGCATTATAAAAATAGTGAACAAGTTTTCAATATGTTTTTATTACTACATCTAATATCATTTATAGGTTTTCAAATTTTTTTCTACTTTTCATCCAACAATCTATATGTTTTGCCTAAGAATAAACAGATTTAACAAATTTTTTTCTAAAAATTACAATCCAACAAGTTTATGCTTTTTTCTTGTTCTCTGCAATTGTTCAAAGAATTCTTAATGCAACAAAACATCACCTCTACACATAACAGGATCACAAAAGGTACATATTTTCAGGTAATACCCACATTCTTTTCCTCTCCCCTTTTCTTTCAGATAGATTTAGTTCTTACCTGATGAAGAATTCCTGAAAATGTGTAATGTGTAATGTGTAATGTGTAACTTTGCATACTACTTGGAAATCATAAATACAACCCAAACAGCATATTGTGAACAACAACAAACATATGTTCAAAAAACAAATGCAATATACTGTAGTTCAAATTCTGGTTTTATTTTATTCCCAAAAATGTGGTAAGAAATTGCTAAAGAAAAAAAACTGGATTCATTTGCCAGCTGAGGAACTCATGCAAGTTAAATTATAAGATTTCAGACTTTACGAGATTTCTACACCAACCTTTCCTATACATCCCCTAAAGAGGCTTCAACTACAGGTAGTCCTCAACTTACAGCAACTGGGAAAGGCATTTCCGTCGCTAAGCGATGCAGTTGTAGAGTGAGACGTCACGTGACCGCATTGCTTAGCAATGGCAATCTCAGCACTCCCAGTTGCCATCAACTGAGAATCCTGGGTTGTTAAGTGAGTGCCCACCCCAATCTAAACCATTCTGGGCTTGATCCCTTCCAGCCCCGAGCCTCGGTAAGGTAAGGGACTGCCTCCAACTCCCCCCACCTGCCTATCTCCCCCCATCTCTGCCCTTTCAGCTGCCCTGCACCCTGCCTTGCAGGATGGCAAGTAGCACCTAAGCCATGGCTCACCAAAAAGCCATCTTGGCTGTACCCGCAGATCAGAACTGCCTGGGAATTGCAAGGAAATGATCCAGTGGAACTGAGCCAAACTGGGGTCTGACTTTGCCACCTCGCTCCTCCCTGTGCCTTCTTGCCCCTCTTCCCAAGCCTCATTTGCCTGTTGGGCTTTTCCAGGATAAAAACAGCAGTGCCCCCCCAACCCTAGCGTTAGTCTAAGCCTGCAGGCAGTTGCTTTCCTCCTTAAAAAAAATCTGCCGCCAAAGCAAGACCCGAAGGAATGAGACAAACTGAATGGGAGTCCAAGCTCCATACTTCCTGCCCCCATCCAACCCTCCAATTTGGAAGAAAGACAACAGCCAACAAGCATGCGAACGGGGGTTGCCAGCAGAGCAAACGCAGCCCCCCACGGAGGGCTCCATTTCCATAAGGACCACCACCACCACCTTCTTCGTCTCCCTGTCCAAGGGGAAAGCGCCTGCCCCTAAAAGGCCAAGCTCAGGTGTGGATTCAACTCCTACAAAATGCTTCCCAGTGCAAATGCTCTTTGATGCCTTTTCACACTGCAAAAAAAAAGTAAAAAGCAACTGTGGCTCAACTTCTCCGGCAAACACAAATAAGAACGCCAGTCAATGGGGAAGGCCAGAAGCCACATGTAGCAAGCATTCTCCGGAGAAGCTGAGCCAACTCCCAGCGCTTTCCCATCAGACAAAACCATTTTTGGCCTTCCTCACTCTCTGGCATTCTTATGAGTAAGATTAGGAAGTACAGGGACGAGCGGGGTAGCAAAGTCAGACCCCAGTTTGGCTCAGGTCCACTGGATCCTTTCCTTGCAATTCCCAGGCAGTTCCGATCCAGGGGTGCAGCCAAGATGGCTTTTTGGTGCTTGGGCTGGTTGCTGCCCTGCAAGGCAGTGTGCAGAATGGCCAAAAGGGCCGAGATGGGTGGGTGGGAGAGTTGAAGCGTGCCTGCAGTCGTAAGTGTGGGCAGACTGCCAAGAGCTTGAATTTTGATCATGTCACCGCAGGGACGCTGCAAAGGCCTTAACTTCAGGCACAGGTCATAAGTCCCTTAGTTCAGCACCACTGTAACTTTGAACAGTCATTGAACGGATGGTTGTAAGTCAAGGACTACCTGTAGTTCAGTAGGAAGCAATGCTCTAATCACAGGAAATGCACAATCTACCAGGAATCAATAAGGAGCAGCCAAGAAACAAACAATAGCAGAAGACAATCAGCAGTCTCTCTCTCTCCTTGGCTCTTCCCCTCTCTTTGCCTCCTCCATTTCCTCAGTCAAACTTCCCATCAAACTCCTGTTGCTTGCTTAGTGAACATGGCACACATGACACGCTGTTTAAAATTACTTATTTTAAAAGTATCCCATTTTTTAAATTAGTTTGTTCCCCATCTACCTAGACCAATCATTCTCTCTTTTAAATACAAATCACTTCCCTGTAAAGAAACACAAAAGTACATACATACATACATACATACACACACCTCTCTTTTCTTCCCAGCAGATACAACAAAGAAGAAGGATTATGGATGGAGGCGTGTAACAGGAAGAGGTAAATGGGCAGAAAAGAAAAAGGCACACATACATCCAATTTAGGTTTTACCAAAAGGGTCAAATCATGAGATTTTTTTCCAGACAATGATTAATCTTGGGCTAATCTTTAGAAAGTAGTCTATTCCTATAGCAAGCAAAAATATGGAATAAAATTCTAACACAATTCAGGAAAATATATTTAGAAAGAATTTAAATATTTCAGAGATATCCGAAAAGGACAACAATTGGAAGGGGCTTCTATAATACCAGCCAAAGACCGAAAAGCTTCTAATTTATGAATCAAGGGAATTACTTATAGTAATTCTGCCAACAAACAATCGCTAAGATAAATGGCAAACAGAAATAGATCAATTCATTAGCAGTACATAGGTGTCACACTGACCTATTTTCTAGACTTAAAGAAAAGGATTAGATCATAATTCTACTCCAACATATGGCAGTTTTTTTAATGCTTTTTTAATAACTTTCAAGAAGCATCATTTTGTTTCCAAATAAAGAAATAGTAAACTGCTTGGGTTTACTATTAGATTAACACAATGATGATACAAGTAGTCCTCGCTTAACAACCATTCAAAGTTATGATGGCCTTGGAAAAAGTGCTTTAGAGCACTTCTGGCCATTGTAAAACATAACACCACCGCCCCTCCGGTCACATGGCCACATTTTGGGTACATGGCAATTGGCTCGTATTTACGACCAGTTGCCAAGCGCCCTGCAATCATGTGATCGCCATCTGCAATCTTCTCTGCCAGCTTCCCCATTGGAAATTGTTAATGTCCTCTACCTCATAACTGGCCTAAGACAAAATCCAGATCTTATGCCTGACCCCCAGTATGGGTTGGGCCACTGATGACTGTCCCCACATGGGACAGGTCCATGGTTGCCATGGAGGAGCAGGCAGGGAGTCCTGCACCACCCTGGGCTCTACACCACCAGGTGGCAGACTGAAATCCCCAAGCACCAACAACTTCAAGGATTCTACAGCCAACTGAGTGTAGAGAGTAAAGAGAATGACCTTGATGGAGAGAAGGAAAATCTGTTACCAAGGAAACAAGCAGAATAAACATTACAGAAGCCCAGACAAGGGGGAAGGGGTATGAGAGTGTCTCAGACAGACACCCCCCAAATTCACATGAAGGTAAAAGAGAGAGGAGGAGAAGCACATTCAGACTTGCAAGATTCTGTTGCTATAGCCGATCTTAAAAGTAGTTTTAGGCACTCATGGCATGTATTCCTGTGACCTACCTTGCAGGGCTGACACCCACTGACAGAATCCAGCAGCAAAGGCAGGGTTCATTCTGGGCAGCAGGGAGGACTGTATACCAGCAGCAATCCCACCTGTCCCCTAGAACCCAGTTTCAACCAAAGCACACATCCAGTAATCTGAGGAGGAGTGCCTTTGAGAGCCTGCAAGGACTTATGGATAACAATAGCCACCCCTCCCTGAGAGTCTCATCTGATGCAAAGTCTGAAACCGAGGTGGGCACAATTCCAAACTTCCCCACTCCAGGCTCACCCCAGTCTCAGTTAGACATACCAGGTTGGCACCCTCATCCAGGATAAATCATGAATCAGGCCAGTTTTGTTACATACCAGTCTGGCATTCAGCAGCAGCAGAACCCAGGGCCACCAAGGATCCAATAACCAGCCATCAAGGGTAGAAGCTGATGGCTGGACAGTGTGATTGTTTTCAAGCAGTGGACCAAATGTCCCTAAATGCAACCTACCCCCAGATACCAGCCATACCTTCCTCTGTCCATCACTGTAGGGATGTTCCTGCCTGGCCTTTCAACTCCCCCACCCCACTACCATCCATCAGTCCCCCCTCCTCCAGGTCCAGGGCATACATACCCAAACATGCAGATTCACCCCACACACACACACACACACACACACATGCAAAGCCCCAAGAACCCACCCCAATCCACAGGGGACTCAATCCCCCTCTCAACCACACCTGCTTAAGCACTCAGTGGCCTAAAGAGGGGGCCTAACCCAGGCCCCACTCCCTGACCACCTACCCCTCCTAAACATGGGGAAATTCACACCACAGGATAAATTACTTTCTAAAGTAATTACATCACTTATGTTCTTTCCAGATATAAAAAATTACTAATATGAACTATTTCATTAGCAGCCAAGTTATTTGAAAACACTGCAGATACAAGCATGCCAACTTTTCATTCAGACACAACTGTGGAAAAAAGAGGGATTGAATTCATCATAGAAAATAAGTAATATTTCAGAATTTTAAAAATATGTCTATAAATGTTTTACCTGACACTACTCCTACTCCATCATCACAATCATAGTCTGAGATTTCACTATCACTTATTCTTTTGGATCCTGTAAAACAAACAAATAATTATAGGATTGATTATAGCTATTATAGTAAATGAGCGCTATATTTATTAAACTTTACTAGTAACATTAATAGAGATTGTTAATGTTGCATATATCCATTTATCTCCTATAAAATAAAATATTATTGTGAATACACAGAGAAAAATACTATTTCAAATATTAATTTGGTCAGTATAACACATATTGAAACAAGTCAGTAAAAACACCTTCTAAGTCCACTGCTGCACCTAAAAAACAGGCCACATAAGAAAAAAATATATTAGGTCGTGGCTTACCATTTTATCTGCTTGTACACAGAGAGATGGCCTAATATTTGTAACCAACCAAATATAACTTACTTGTCAAAAATAAGAGAGCTTTACTGCTCAGAAGCAGACAACATAATCCTCACTGGGGTTGCAAATATGATAGGAAAATATTTTTTAAAACTATATAGCTAATAAGTCACTAAAATAAACATATTTTATAAATAGAAGGTAATATATGCTCAATCATAATTGAAGGAGCAGGAATAACCTAAATATATTTATTTTTCTCCTATTATCCATGATGCAAATTTTCTTTGCTAGCTTTTATCATAGTCTAGTGATCTCTGCTTTGACACTGCTTATGATTAATGCTAACCATATTTTTTCATAACCTAGCATTTAAAGCTAGTTTGTATTTAGACTGAATAAAAGTCGAAGTTAAAAATATATAGTTAATATTATCTTATTAATGTTGATGTAACTACAATGTCAAACCATGTTTAAAGGTAGGTTCAGGGTAAGGATCTTAATATAAGAGCAAGAGAAATTACAGAGAAGGCAATATTTGATTCTTCAAATTGTCCTCAGTGTTTTTTCAGAATTGCTCATTCTTGGGGTGGTGAAACAGCACACTAAAAAAGTCAGAAGACAAAGAACTTCAACAGTAACCTTTATTATTAAAAACTAATTAGTAGAAAAAGACATCTTATCAAAGCCAAAACGGAGCAAGAAAAGCTTCAGCTGTGTGTGTTCAGTGGGTGAGGATTTAAACTGTGCAAGGACTGCCTTTCATTGCTGCAAGCAACTTCAGCATTTGGCTTCATGCTCCATGTTTTGTGCTTTCTTGCTCCTGTTTCCTGTTCTCAACCTTGGCACGTTCCTGACCAAGTCTCTGGCTTGTCCCATGGTGCTTTCAAGACACTGTGTGTTTTTTTCAGATTACAGACTAACTGGCCCAGTTTTATATCTCTTCCTCAGTTACCAGTAAGCTTGTTGTGCAAACATGCATTCTTCATTTGCCTTTTCTAACACCACTCCTGTTTTTCACTTCTCACATGCTCCTGCCTGCCTACACCCATAGTCTCCTTGGGCCTCTACCCCATCTTCCCCCTGCAGCTTCTGCAACCAAGCACTTACCAGTGTGTGTTCAGCTCCTGATACATCTGCAGGCCTCGCCATAATTGCACTGTTCCAGTATACACATTCTCCCTCACTTTCCACCAATGCTTCTCCTACCAAGCCCTTTCTTCAGCATATGCTTGGCTCCTAGTACTCTCTCAAGCTTCATACACAATCCCATGCATCAGCTTGCATGAGTTTTTCCCCCTCCAGTGAAGCCAGGACACAAAATTTGATCTGGATGGACAGGCAGATGTTGGGACAGGAGAAGGTAGTCTCTCAGATAACCAAGTCCAAAGCCATAAAGGGCCTTAAAGATGATAACCAGCACCTTGAATCACACCCAAAAATCAACTGATAACCACTGCAACTTCCAAAGCAGTGGTGTCATCCAAATACCCATCACTGCTTAGACTACTGCATACTGCACTAGCTATAGCTTCCAGATGTTCTTCAAGGGCAGCCCATCTAGACTGTGTTACCTCAGTCCAAACAGGAGATGACAAGGGAACACATTACTATTCGCAAGCTATCCCAATCCAGGAAAGATTACAATTGGTGCACAATATATACCTGTGCAAAAGTCCTACTAGCGACAGCTGCCATCTGTTCCTCAAACAGGAGCTGTAAGTTTAGGAGAAAATTGCAAGTCACTTCTTAGTGCAGGAATGCAACCAGAGCCAAAGATTGAATTTCTGGAATCATTTGGGCCACAAACCCAAAGCCCTTCTAAAAGACTGTTCCTCCCTACCCAGACTCTGACAGCTTCCAAGCACTGGGTTAGCATCCACTGTATAACCTGTTTGGCCTGCAGACAAGATGTAAAACTATCTTTATCATCAGAATATTGATGATACTGAACCCTGTGCTGGTGGGTAACCTCTCCCAGTGGCTTCATGTAGATGTTAAAAAGTGGAGAGAGATGAGATCCCTAAGCAACTCCACACAATAAAGGACTTTGAATAGATCTTTCTTCTCCCACCACCACTGACTGGGGCCAATCCTCCAGGAAGGAGGAGAACCTTGGTAAAACAGTGTCCCCTACTTCAATCCATCAGAAATTTCAGAAAGATACTATAATTGATTGTATCAAAAGCCGGTGATAGATCAAGGAGGAGCAGGGGTCCATATAATCTGTTTATTTTATGGTCCTTTATAGTTATAGGGCCACCACTTTTTCCACAACCTTTCCAAGAAAAGGAAGCTTAGAAATAGGTCTATAATTGTCCAAGACAGTTAGATCAAGTGAAGGCTTCTTGAGCTGGGGACACACCACCACCTCCTTCAGAGATTAAGGAAATACCCAGTCATTCAGATAAGCATGCATTACCACTTGGAACCAATCTCCTACTACCTCCCAAGAGGCTTTAACTAACTGTGATGGAATATGAGGGGGACCTTGGAAGACGGGGGGAAAAATGCCACCTAGGGAATGATCAGATAAAAGAGAAAGGAGTCCGCAACAGAGTAACAGCCGAAAAAAGAAACTTAGGAACGACGTGCCCTAACTACTCAGGCAGCAAATAAGGAGAGAGGGAGATTTGTACTTTCAGACTTGCAAGATTCTGTTAATGTAGCCTTACAATAAAGTAGAATTAGCTCACTTAGTCATGCTTCCTGTCTGGTTTACCTGGGAGGGCTGACATTAATCTTGCAAGTCTCTTACTTTCTTCTACTTCCTCTAAAGAGAGGAATTTTGAGAATGGCCTCCAATCCTCAAGGAGCCCCATTATCTGATTATCTGCCAGTTACATTGTTACAACACCAGCAGCAAGTAGACACACTGATGACCAATTTACAGAATGCCATGATGCAACTAGTGCAGAAACGGGGGCAGAATTTACATCAGCCTGCAGCAGCACAACTGGTAGTGGCTCAGCCAGAGCTCCTGTGTTCCCATGGGAGCTTGCTGGAGAAATTCGGAGGGGACCAGGATCAATTCCGGGCATTCATCACTCAGTGTGAAATGTTTATGGCAGGCAGACCGGTGGAATTTCCCACTGATTGCACCAAAGTGACTTTTGTGCTGAGCTTGCTGAAGGAAGCAGCAGCTAAGTGGGCAATACCATTGATTGAAGGGAACAATTTGGTGCTGGACAACTATCAAGACTTCATGCGTAAACTCAAAGGACACTTTGGGGATCACATACAGAGAATCATAGCTAGCCAAGGGATCTGAAAGCTCAAGGAGGGAGAGTAACACCATATATTTTGGACTTTAAATTACTTGCTGACAATGTAGGGTGGAACAACTTAGCCCTAATTGACCAGTTCAGGGAAGGGCTGGACAATGAACTAAGGGACAAGCTGGTGAGACAAGGCACTCAAATAACCTTGGTGAACTATATCAGCATTGTGTAATTATAGATGCCCGACTAGAAGAGGAGGCAGGGAAGGAACAGGAAGGACAAGAGATCCTACAATCTGTTTTTCACTATACCACCCCTCCCAATGGTCCCCCATGCAAATCAGGACAGCCAAGAGATCCCTGTCATCAGGACAGAAGCAAAGAAGACGGGATCAGGGGCTATGCTTTTACTGTGGGGCCCCAGGACAAATAGCAAGATCATGCCTGATAAAAGCACCAGTGGCTGTTATAGCAATAAGATGCAAAACTTGTAAATCAACACAGCACAAAACCAGCAAGTGCCCAGCACATTCCCAAACAGTCCCCCAGAGAAATTAAACTGGCTTCCCTCCCAGGAGCTCCAAAGGGGGGCCATCCACCATTTAAGGAGATTCAGACAGCCAACAAAAGGCAAGCATATCCTGTTATTGTTTCTTCAGAATCCAAGCAGAAGGTGGAGCTTTCTGCTCTCATAAGACTGGGGCAATCACTAATTTCATAGACGTAGAAATGGTACAGAAACTAAAGTTGCCAACCCAAGGTCTAGAAAACCCAATGGTAGTTGAAACTATTGACAGCCAGCCACTAAGGGCAAGACTGCAGCGCACAGTTCCTTTGCAATTGACAATCAAAGATCACACAGAGCTTATAACGCTCTATCTAACTGCCTCCTTGCAAGTTTCCATAATCTTGGGTATAGAAATGGCTTCAGCTGCATGACCCAGTTAATAAGTTGGGAGCAAGGGACACTCTCATTTCCCTCTCCTAAATGCCAACAACATCGCTTACAAGCAGTGAAAGCTTACCCCCCATTGCAGAACAAGGGAGGATCAGTGCTGCCATAAAAATATGCAGAATACACTGATGTGTTCAGGGAGGAAGAAGCATCCATGTTACCCCCACACTGGGCATGTGATTGCACCATCAATTTAAAGCCAGGGGCACAAATCCAAGCAAAAAGGCAGTATCCCTTGTCTACCCACGAGTTAACCATCCTCAAGGAATATCTAGATGCCAACATCAAAAAAGCCCTTCCAATTCACCAGCATCGGCACCCATGTTCTTTGTCCCCCCAAAATAAGGAGAAGCAGCAACCACACTGAAAGGAAAAGAGGGAGCCCACATGCCATTCATGATTATAAAGACCTGAACAGAGTGACTGTTAGAGACCATTATCCACTCCCACTTATCTCCAATCCACTGGACTGGCTACAAAAGGCACAGATCTTTATCAAACTAGACTTGAGAAGTGCTTACAACCTAATCAGAATGAAAGAAGGGCATGAGTATTTAACAGCATTTGGTATAAGATACAGAAAATATGAATACAGGTAGTCCTCACTTAACTACTATTCGCTTAATGATGGTTCAAAGCTACAGCAGCCTTGGAAAGGGTGCTTTATGGCCCGTAAAACACTTCCAGCCGTTGTAAAAGTCACGTTCCCCCCCCCCCCACAGTCACATGGCTGTATTTCAGATGCTTGGCAACAGTTGCAAGCGCCCTGTGATCATGTCAATGGGGAATCCGGCAGTGAAGGTTGCAAGCAGAGGGGATGGAGGGGAGCTGAAATCCCTCTGCAGTCTGCAAGAACGGAATATGCCTCGGGAAAAAAGCCAGGTACTCATAATTGCTGTTAGCAGAATGCAACTACTTTCTCCATTTCCACAAAATGCTGATCCACAATTAAATACAGTAATAAAGTGAGTAAGCATATGGCACCTTCGATTTAACACCTAGAAATAGCACAAAGAATCTGTAATATATACAGGATATTATCACATTCCAAACATTAGGGATTTACAGATTGAGCGTGATTTGTTAATCTGCTGCTTTGAATTAAAGCATCAAATCTAATCAACTTGATTTTCCAATTGATTTCAATCAGACCAAATTTTGATTCAAATTAACAGAAAGTCAAGTTGATTTAATTTGATGCTTTAATACAAAACAGGAAATTGGATGTATTCATTTGCTGAATTGATTTGGGAAACAGGCATCCGATTCTATGATTTAACTTGATCTGTTGATTTCATTTAGACAAATAATATGACTCAGAGGTTCAAATTAATCAATTTCTAATCAAATTTCTGATTCAAAACTTCAAATAGTCTAGCAACAGTTACTAAGAAAAAATATTAATGCAGGAGCTATGATTATTATAAATGAGGTATGTTATTTATTGAGTAAATTTAAAAAGTCTGGTAGTTGGAGATTCATCTGTATGTATCATACCACTGTCAATAAAGGACACATTATCACTCAATAGTACTACAGCATCATATCAGTAAGGAATTTTAAGTTAAAAGTTAGTATATTGGTATAATTTTTAATTTTAACACAAACTGTCATAAAATACTATCAAAATATTAATATCAATACAATTATATTACCTTTACACAGAATCACAACAAATGAAATGTTAGAAAATAGTTCCATTTTTTAGCAAAATGTTTATGACACTAAGCAAGTACTGTAAGATTAGAAACAATGCAAGGATAAAGGCCTATTTCTGAAAACAGAATAAGAATCCAAAGAGCAAACAAGCAACTGAACTGGAGCACAAGAAATAGCAGAAACACATCAATAGCATTAAAAAAACTTGTCACAAGCAATAAATGGCATGCTTTTAAATTACCTGGATTATATGAATATGAGCCTTTATCTGGAAAACGTTAAAACGAAGGGATGTCAGAAAAAAATACATGAAGTTTTGACATGTAACAGAAATATTCTTAATTTGAAAGGCTGTGTATGACTAAGTGCAATTGCTATTTTTATTTGACAGAGCAGTCATGAATTATTAATTTTTTAGAACTTTTCAGTGCAATCCTATGTATATTTATGTCCAATGGCACTTACTCCATAATGATTTAGTGATCCTAATAATTTTTTTAAAACCCTCAGGGTGCTTCTTAGGTTATCTTTTTAACACAGAAAACTTCATTCTGTTAATTCTATTTGTTAGCCAAACTTTTGATTAATTCTTCCATTCAAGATTACAATGTGGAACAGAACAAGGTAAAGCCAGAATATCAGCATAATTCCTCAACTGGAATCAAAGGTCATTGATTCAATAATCTTATTTCCCCGTACAGTTTCCTACTGAATTATCAGGGTTTCTTTATTATTAACTTGCACTTGCAGTTCTCCCCTCATGTATTATCACTCCCTATTGCAAAATAATTTCCTCTTTCACTAACATCAGTATAGACATGTTCAGCACTCTGAATAATGTCTGCGAAAAGTTAGTGGTATCATCACAGAACTTAAATCTTTTTCCCTACAAAAGGCTGGCAGGGTTGGGGCGAGTCTGATATCCTGGGGAATGATATTCCAGAGGGTAGGACAGAACCCTACAGAAAAGGCATGCTTCCTGGGTCCTGTAAGATGAAATTGTTTAACAGAGTGGACCTGGAGTGCACCCAGTCTGCTGGAATGTACCAGGCAGGCAGAAACAATTGGAAATGTGAACTCCCTCAGATAAACAGGCCCTATGCCATGAAGGGCTTTATAGGTAACGACCAGCACCTTGAATTGCACCTGGAAGCCAACTGGCAAACAGTGCAGCTCATGTAGCAGTGATGACACGTGGGCATACCGAGAAGTGCCCCTTACTGCTTGCACCACTGCATTTTGTACCAGCTGTAGCTTCCCAATGGTCTTCAAGGTCAGTCCCACGTAGAGCGTATTGCAACAATCCAGTTGTACTGATTATACCACCCTGAACCAATGAATTTCAGAGAGATTCTGCTTTAACTCACTATAAAAGAGGCTGGGAAATTCCTATTATAGTTTCCAAGATTCTGTATTTACCCTGACCTAGCATTAAAGGCTCCTTACTGAAATCCATGTCATTCCTTCTTTATCTTGCCACTTATGTGGGGCTTCATAGGGTTCATTAAAAGTATTGTTCCTTTTTTAAAAAAAATACACGTAATGCCCAACTGTGGTTTAGACTCAGGATTAGGCACCTTTCGTTCTAATCATTTGCTTTTTTGTTTCATTTCCCTCTGCCATTTCTTTAAAATGAGGCAGGTTATAGCCTAAGTCTATCATAATTTGCCTCTACACCAGAGCTCAGCTCCCAATTCAAATTGTTTGCACTCTGGTATAGATACAAAGTCTTTGTGCAAAGGACAGCTTTACCTAATTCACATGCCATAGTAAGCCATGATTCACCCACACCAAAAATCAATCATATTATAGAAAAAGATTTTAAAATCTAGGGCTATAAGCTATGATGGAAAATTTGAACTACTCACTAATTATCCACTACTGAGCCAATTTTGGATCACTGTTCTTTCATTAAAATGCCTTATGATAAGTTTTAACTTCCTTGTTCCATATTAAATATATCCTACATCTCTTCTAAAAGGCTGAATTTCAAATGTGTCCTCCTAAATAATGTGCATAGGATGTAGCTTTGATAATCCATGAGTTACATTATATATTATAATAATACCAAATAAGCAGTCTATTCAAATGAGCAAATTAGCATAACATGCCCAAACTACCTATCCCACAAAAGAAGGCAAAAAATAAAAAGAAGCATGAAGCAGGAAAAAAAGTATGTAATTCCTTCTCTTCAATAAGTGTATGTTAATATGTTTTCCATTATGGGGATATTGTTGCTATATTTTACTTTATTTGGAATGATGCTCCATGTTGATCATTTCCCAAAACTGTTGAAAGTACAATTCAATAATTGCCTACATCCTTTTAATTCATACTACCTTTTCATATGAATAATACATCTGAAACAGAGCTAACAGTTCTCAAAGCTGTGGTCGGACTTTTAATTCAAATCAGTCCCAACCCGCATAGAAAAAGATCAGAGATACCAGAGTTGTAATCCAAGGGCAATGGGAAAAACACAAGTTGCCCAACCCTAATGCAGACCATTTAATAAATCCAAACAGCATGAAGTTTAAATAATAAAAAACGAAGTATACATGTGATTTGCATACTTTAAGAATACAAATGAAACTGTGTTGCATCATCAGCCAAAGTTCTGTACAGTCTAACATTCTATTTCTAATGATGGTCACCTAAATATTTTTAGAAAAGCACAATAAAGTGCTAGCAAACAGCACTTATTCTGTTCTATACTCTACAAGCAGTATGACTCTTACTACAAACATGTATTTATACTGTTCCTTTCCAGAGTCACATAGGTTTTATCTTCATGTACACCAGAGATTAAAATTCCAGGATTCTAGGATGGAACAACCACAAATTTTGTATCAGTGCATTCCAAAAGTTTATGTGTTCTGTGAAAAAATACTCTGTTCTGTTCCTACCACTTATCAATTTAACTGAAGAACTGGAGTTCTAAGTATTATGAGAATTAGAATAATTTATTTGATCATGGTAATTAGAAATTGACTAACAGTAATTTCAAGTCAAACAAAAAAATTACATCTTTGTCCCTAATTGGGAGGCTTTACTACAAGCTGCTACCAGTCTTATTTTGGTGCCTAAATACCTGTGGTAGGATCTGAATTTAGTTCTTGCTCCAACATCAGAGTTTAGAGCACCTTTTCTCAGCTGGGCTTCCTAGAACCCTAAGGTTAAACAAAAGTTCACTAGGGGTTCCATGAGATCATGTCTGGAAAAAAAAAAGTTTTGTTTTTTGAACGTCACGCATCACACAATACTAGCCCTTGAAGTGATGGAAATTTCTACACTCTGCAACTCAGCTGCTGGCCTACTGCTTTGCTGTTGTAAACATTATAAAATGTAGAGTGTGTAGGCTGGAAGTGAATTGTATTGTGAAGTTTTCATCTTTTTTGCAATTTTTATGCAGGGTTCCCTGAGACCTAAAAATGATTATAAGGATTCCTCCAGGGTAAAAGACTGAGAGAGTTTGGTTTAGAGACCAGAGCTCACATTCCATTCTTTACATACTGAATTGCTCGCCTGTATTTAATAGTTCATAATGTACTAACTTTAGATTTGTTTTTGTTTGCTTATTAAATCTATAGGCTGCCAAACTCCACTGTGATTTTGGGTGGTAAAATTTGCATATAAAGCAGACCAGTTTCATTTCAGCCTTAACAATATATAGAACCTGCTTTTGAGAACTCGATTAACCCAAAAAAGGATACCAAAAATCCTTGGGCATTTTAATATGGAAGTGAATACATGTGTTTTAGATAAACAAATTCAGCATTGCCATATAATAAAAAATATATTCTCATCCAACAAAATTCAGTGAAGTTGGAAATTAGATAACATTAAATTTCAACTGAGATTTGATGAAATGTTACTATCTGTTCAGTTTTATAAAAAGTGTAATATGTTCTCAGAGTACTGCAAAAGGGGAGAATAAATTAAAAATGAGATGAAATAATAGTTTAGATGAAAAAAAATAAAGTTAAAAATTAAATGGTGAGACAAAGCAATCCTATTTGTCAGTCAGAATACTGTGGCTGGACATGAAGAGGATGAAGTGACATCTGCAACTGAATAGCTTTGAAGCCTAGGAAGACAAACAGAAATGGGAATCTAACATAGGTTTCCTCTTCAGAGATTTCTCTGTAGTTTCAAGGGGAAAAGTCAAGGAATCCAATTGATCTTGGTATGATATTCAAAGGATTAAACCTGCTACCTAAAATCATATATTTATAATCATATTTAAAGATTTTAAGGAAGACATATTAGACATATTTGAGAAGGGAAGGAAAGTGCAATGTAAAAGTTTTAAAATTTATAAACAATACCCTAATCAAGGAACGACCAAGGAGAAAACCACACCCCCACCAACACTGGCAGGGTGAGCTACTGTATATAAACAGGGAGAAAACCCCACATTCACAAGCACTGATGATATTACCTAGTCAGGTAAAGAAAAATCTGCAATCAAACAACCAAGCTCAGAGAGCACCAAGGACTCCACAAATATGTTTCTGAATATAAAATGAATTCTCCACACTAGCTCTCCCAGATTCTAAAAAACGCAGTCAATATACTTAAATTAGTGTATACAAACAGAAGAGATACTAATTTATTATTGTATAAATTTGCAATCTAGAAGAAAATATTTTAAACATTCCATTCAGAAATGAACACAAATTAATAGTATTATATAACTTACTTTGCAACCTTCGTGTGGGGCTATCCCCATGAAGCTGTCGGCGTGGCAAATATGGGGAAGGATGGGGAAGTGGCAATGAGGACATATCATGAGTCTGAAGTTTGTACCAATGAGGTTCATCATCCAGCAGTGCTGTCTCTAATTCAATTAGAATCTAAAAAAGAGAATAAAATAGAACTATTCAAGTGCAACACATCATTTGCACTGTAACTGTTTTATAAAGTATATACTATGTGATATTTGCATATTTACTTAAGTTAGTGGAAACTGAATGGCTTCAAGTAGAGTTTCAAGGTATATATAAGAGATCACTAACAGGAATATGGGATGATTCAATGTGATGCAGTATTGTTCATTGTAGAATTGATTGTATCTTTGTTGTCTGTGGAGGTAACATCAAATATGGATTCCTTGTAAATAATAAATAGCATTGACTACCTCTCCTAAAAATTCACTTTCTTCCTCTCGAACTCGTGCTTGGTCCCAAAGAGTAATTTCCAACATTCGCTCTCGAAATTCTCTCCGATGAACTGGAGAATAAATGAATGTTTGGTTCCACTTGGGTTCCAATGTTTTTTTTACTGTTTTTGTTCTTCTTTTATTTTTATCACTGTAATTAAGAAATACACGTTAAAGATGTTGATATTACAAAGAATCATAAAAATCATATTTTTAATGGGAAGGATGAGTTTCGTTCCTTTTGCATAATTCCTGAAACTGGGTTTCATTTCTGAGATGATTACTCTCATTTCTTACTCCACAATATTTTTTATTAATAGTTGCTATTTCAATACCAATTATAGAAAATCCTGATTAGTACAAATAGGATATTGTAAACAAAATCAGCATGCTCATAACCCTGTCATTTAATTACTTTTACCTGTTCTGCACTTTGATCCAAAATTCAAGGAGAGGTGTTGTTAGGAATGTTATTGTCAATGTCAGAAGGGATATTCATAAATTGCTCCTCTTCAGTAGTAGTTAGTGTACAAGCTATCAGTTTATGCATTGAAAAAGTTCACTAACTTCACACAGACTTCTACAAATATTCTAAAGACTGTGGATATGCTACTACACACCACACTGGTTGAGATGCTAGAGACCCATGAATATTTCCAAGATAAGCTGAACTCAACTACCAAAACAATAGTGATAATGGATTGCCAACAGACTGTCACATGATCAATAGGTGTCAGCTGCTATATTCTGCAGAAATTAGAGTTTTGTCTTTTTCATTTGACTAAAAACCTCAATCCACAAAATACACTATATTTTAATCAAAAAAGTTATAAGACATTAGCATTGTGACATAATGACAGATTTTAGTAGATAAATTGAAACATTTTATAAAATAGATATGCAAGTATTAAAAGAGTTCATTTCGAAATAACATTTTACAAATAATTTAAATACATTATTGTAACTGACAGAAATACTACGCCTGCGCTAAGAAAATAAAACAGCTAGAAAAGAAATTAATATGTTTAGTAATGTTCAAAAGTCTAAGCTCAACTATTATACCTGAAGCAAAATTTATTTTAAAAAAAAACAACCCTGTGCCCAACCTTGAGAACCCTCTACTTTGAGAACCCCTAACCAGAAAGATAACTCAACATATGAAATGGGAACACTTAAAAAACAGATTGTAACTGCAACATTTAAAGCCAAACTGGGAAGTGTCAATATAAATAGAGGTCAGAATGAGAAACTGCTATGTTTAAGGAACATTTCAACATCAAGCAAACTTTTTGTTAAATAAATATAACTTATTACTTAAAATTTATCTCAAAATATTTAACCGAACAGTTCTAACTCATTACAGAGTAAGACGCTTTGAAGAAGAATTAATGATTAATTTAAGTAGTACTTTATGGGCCTCAGGGTGAAAATAAAGTATACTTATAGAAGAGCAAGCTTGGCAATGACCATTTGGCAAACACAGTAAAACTGATTTCTAAAAATCAGCAAAAAGGTTATGAAAAATAACTGTACTACAGACTTCTTAAAAAATAAGAGATTATTTTTTAAGAGAAACAGGAAATGGAAAAAATAAGAGAAACAGGAAAGGAAATCCTTTTGCCTCTCCTTCCTTCCTTCCTTCCTTCCTTCCTTCCTTCCTTCCTTCCTTCCTTCCTTCCTT